AAGGCATATACAGTGTTCTCTGTGAATGCAACGCACTTGGGTCACCATATCCTTACTCAGCATCTGCTATTTTTCCAAGCCTTGTGCTAGACACTGAAGCTAAAGTGGTATATAGTTTCCTAGGGCTACTGTAACAAACCACCATAAACAATTTTATAGAAATCACTGAAATTGTGGCATAGCAGGTAAAGCTACCACCTGTGATGCCAGCATCCCATATGGGCACTGGTTCATGTCCCAGCTGCTCCACTTCCCATCCGGCTCTCTGCTAATGGTCTGGGAAAAGCAGAAGATGGCCCAAGTGTTTGTGCCCCTGCCACCCATGTGGGAGACCCAGATGAAGCTCCTGGCTCCTGGCTCCTGCTCCTGACTTTGGCCTGACCTAGCCCGGGCCATTGTGCCCATCTGGGGATTGAACCAGCAGATGGAAGATCTCTCTGTCTCTCCATCTCCCTCTGTAACTCTGACTTTCAAATTAATAAATAAATCTTTAAAAAAAAACACACAGTTTCAAAGATCTGAAAACTAAAATCAGGTGCAAAATCAGGGTGTCCTAGAACCATACTCCTTCTGAAATCTGTATGGGAGAAAATCTTCCTGGCCTCTTAGAGCTTCTGGTGTTTGCTGCAACTCCTTGGTGTTTCTTGTCATGTAGCTATATCACTCCAGTCTCTGCTACTGCCCTGATGGTGTTCTCCCTATTGTATGCCTCTCTCCTCTTATGAGAATACTGGTTATAATGGATCTACTAAGTGTGTTCTAGTGCAACCTTATCTTGAGTGATTATATCTACAATGATCCTGTTTCTAGGTAAAGTCACATTTTAGAGTACTAGGGGTTAGAACTCCAATTAATCTTTCTGGGAGACACAGGAGCTGCAATTCAACGCATAGCAAGTAGTAAACCCAAACAGACATGACCCCTTGCTCTTATCAAGCAAACAACAGAATGGGGTAGTCAGATTACAAGTACAATAGTTCGTCCTATCCACAGGGAGTATATTCCAAGACCCCCAGTAGATTCCTAAAGCCATGGATAGTAATGAATCCTATTTATACAATGTTTTTTCCTATACATATTTATGATGAAGTACAATTTACAAGTCAAGCACATTAAGAGATAAACAACAATACCTGATAATAAAATATAACAATTATAACGAAACTTTATAGTTAAAAGTTGTAGTCTCAGACTCTGTTATTCTCATACACTCTTTCTCTGAAATATCTAATTATACTCTATTCAGTCTTCCTGTGATGATGTGAGGTGATAGAATGCCTCCTTGACGAGTTGAAATGAGGTGAACCGTACATAGGCGTTGTAATATAGCATTAGGCTACTATGTAATGATTACTGGAATGCAAGTACTACAGTGCCACCACAGTCAATCATGTAATGGAGATGGTTACTAAGTGGCTAAAGGGCAGGTAGCATATATGGATGGATAGAGATGATTCACCTCCCAGAGGGAACAGAGCAAGATGGCATGAGATTTTTATCACACTACTCAGAATGCTCCACAATTTCAAACTTATGAGTTGTTTATTTCTATGTTTTGCCATTTAATATTGTTGGACTTCAGTAGACCATGTGTAACAAACCACAGAAGGTGAAACCATGGATAAGGGTGAACCACTGTACATTGAGAATTTCCAAAAAGGGAATGTTAGTGAATCCATTATAATGGGTGAATTTTACCCAATCAAGAGTTTTCTCCATGAAGAAGTAACATTTTAAATGGAGATGAAGAGTAAAAGCCAACTAAGATGAGAATCCAAAAAGACACCAGGACAGAGCTGCTATGTTCCACACTGGACTTAAGTAGAACCCAGGTCCCAGAATCCAAAGGGAAGCCTGGAAGTGTCTCAGAGGCCTCCAGCAACAACTAATCTGCCCCTGGACTGGCCCCTACTGGCCTGAAACCCCACCCTGAGAAACAGTCAAAGGCACAGTAGACAGGGAAGGGATATCAGCACCCAGACCCATGGCTCAGAATTGTAGCCTCTGTGCAGGAGAGAAAGTAGGGGAGAGTCTCTTTGCTTTCCCATTTTGGGCCTAAGTTAATTAAAATATTTTTGTCTCAGAATCAGCACAGTGCTTAATGTACAGATAGCTTCTGCTGACCTTGTTCCATGGGAATGTAATGTACTTTTATCAGGGGAAGCAGACATGTCTGTTTTGTGAATTTCTCTGAGCAGTGTTCAAGTGGACTCATGGCTGCCAAAATGCCTCTGCTTGAGGGTCCCGGGAGCTGAATATCTGCCAGAGGTGGGAGCAGGGGTGGAGGCAGTGAGCATGTATAGTCTCTGCTCTGATAAGCCTTAACCTTGGGACAACCTTCACTATGTAGGAAGCTCCACATTTATGAGACATGTGTACTGTGGTCATTAGCATTGAGTGTGGTTGTTGAATTTTGTTTTATACACACAGCATTTTAGTATTTCACTTAAAAGTGGGGTGGGAGCTTTTTTTTGAAACATAAACATAAATAGTACAGATCCTATGTGTACAGCTCGGTGATTTTCTACATCCAGGACCCAGATCTAGCACCCAGTTCTAGGTGACACTACAGAAGCCCTGCTCCCTGCACTCTTCTTCTACTCCTACCTACCAAGAGTAACTACCATCCTGACTTCTGAAAATTTTGGGGTTTTGAGCTTATATTAATGAAAACTCACAATATTGAATGTTGGTGTTTGTTTATGTTTGAAATATTTGCCTATGTTGTTGATTGTTGCTGTAGTTTATTGTTGTATACAGTATTGTATAAATATACCATGATTTTTATTAATTCATCTATTGATGAACACTTGTGTAATGAATATCCTTTTTAAAAATATTTCATTATTTCAAAGGGGAGAGAGAGAGAAGAGAGAGAGAGAGGTTGAGAGAGAGAGAGATCTTCTATCATCTGATTCACTCCCTAAATGCTCACAACAGCCAGGACTGGACCAAGCTAAAGCCAGAAGCCCAAACCTTGATCCAGGTGTCCCACACAAGGGTGACAGACACCCAGACATTTGAGCCATCACTTGCTACCTCCCAATATGCAAATGATGAGGAAATTGGAATCAGAAGCAGAGCTGAAACTTGAACCTAGACACTCTGATATGAGATGGGATGTGTCCCACATGGAGTTTTAACTGCTGTGCCAAACTCCCACCATAGACATTTTATAAAACCAATAGCACTATAGCATTTTAAAGCTTGGACTTAACACACACTATAGGGCTAAAAATAAGGCAATATATTTATAGAAATTCACACAAGGATCTAAAATAAATACAACCAACTCAGGCTTCCTCTTCTATTCATTTAACATTTTATGGATGTTTGTGGAAGACTTTTTTGAAGTATTTCCTGGAGACAGCCTGCTACAATAGGAAGTATAAAGGTGCTGTGGCCAGATACACTAAAGTTTGAATACTGGATTCACTACTAATTAATTGTGGGTACTTGGGTAAATCAGCCTCTTGGATTCTCAGATGCCTTTGACTGTAAGATGAGGAAAATCAACAGAGCCTGTCTCTCTAGAAGTAATTGAGATCATGTGTTAAAGTGCCGTCTATGACAAGTTCCTTCCATTTGCACATTTGCTGGGAAGTTATCAACCACATACATTATCTAGATGATGTTGTGAAGGTGCTGTGAATGAAACTGACTCACACACAGGCCCTACCTTAGATGGTATATACTCATGTCAGGCCCTTGACAGGCAGAATAACTGTAATGCAGTTAAAAACATTATTTTCGTGTCTGTAGCAGGTTTGGATGTGATCTTTTAAGCATGAATCAAATTTGAATATGTAGAAATTTTGAATGACATGAAAAGGGCAAAAAAGTATTCCAAATTAGGAATACAGTTTGTGTTAAGACAGCCAGAAAACCATGGGCCATAATGGAAAATAACAAAATAGTTTGGGATAGGTATGGATAAACATAGTGTGGATTAAAGGAAACAGTGAAAAGGATTAGAAAAAGAGCTCCATATCAGAGGACCAGAAAGAGTTTTACAGTCTGTTTCACAATATGATGAAAATCATTAGGGCCAAAGATTTTTAAACTAATTTTCTGGGCTGGTTACAAAAAGTTAGGCAGACCTAGCTGCAGAGGGATCTACTTCCATGCTTTTCTTGGCTAACTCCTATTTGTAGAATCGTTGTACTTCAATTGCAAACAGAACTTTCTAATACTGATCTTTAGAGAACGCTTCTGACTGAGAGCTCATGCAACTGAGCCTTGTCCTTATCATTTCCATTTTGGAGCCTGCAACAAGAAAATACAGTAGGCTTGTTATTATAGGCCCTTAGCTCTCCACAAATGTACTTCTCAAGACGTGATCGTTTGGAACTGGCCAATTCATGAACTCAGCGCATTTGTGTATTTGACATCTACGTCCAGATAATGAGCCACTCTCTCCAATTATTTCCTCTCAAGAAGACTGATCGATTTAGCAGCCTCTGTGTCCGTTACATTATCCAGTCCCAGGCAGTGATGATATTTATACAAAAGACAGAGACATTTCTATGCTATAATGGAAGTTTGAAGAAGTTGGAGCCAATGACCTTTCACTCTGAAGCAGAAGAAAAACAAGCACATATTTTTCATTCTTGTTAAGAATAGGGGCAGAGAAATTAGCAGAAATGCTTCTTTTAGGCCCACTATTCAGTACTCAACCTATGTCTTAAATAACTCCCTTTATTTTGATAAAGTTTTTACATTCCCTCAAAATAGACGTGGTTCTGACCATTGTTTCTGATTTTTATGGGTAAAAATTGGATTTCCCATTTTATCACCCCCTTATACTTATTCTTAATGAACTCTACAACATGAAAAAGAGGTTGGATTGTAGGCTTAAGATATAATTCCTAGTCAGTCTTGGCCTGGAACTTCCCACATTTTCAGCCTTCAGTTTTTACTCTATTAGCAACACCTGAGTTCATGAGAAATGTTCTCTGCGCAGGCATTAAGGGTGTCCTTTTCCTCTGATTTCTTCTCAGGTGGGAAATTGGCAAGTGGAGTCCATGTAGTCTTACCTGTGGGGTTGGCCTGCAAACCAGAGATGTCTTCTGCTCCCACCTACTTTCCAGAGAGCTGAATGAAACAGTAATCCTAGCCGATGAGCTGTGTCACCAGCCCAAGCCCAGCACGGTGCAAGCATGTAACCGCTTCAATTGCCCCCCAGCCTGGTATCCTGCACAATGGCAGCCGGTGAGTTCTGAGCTTACTCAACATTGGAGTTTCTGTTTGCAACAGCGATTCAAGACAAAGGGCGCTCTCTCAACAGTTTTGTCCCATTGAAAGAATGTTCAAGGTCTCGTCATTTCTTCTGTCTTAGTATTTTTCCAGTCTTACTCCAATCCAGGTCTTCTTGTTATAAATATCCTGCCCTTTCTATTTTACCACACCCACAGTGACCTGCAAAAGCAACTCAAATGACCCATCTCTTGACCTGAGAGTATTTGTGACAGAGCTGTCACCCAGCTAAGGAAAAATTTTAAAATAAAGACAATGTTGTGGGTTTTCCATAAAACTAAATTCGTTCTGGATTTATGCCCTTTCTAGTGTTTTTTCTGTTTAAAATTCTAAAAAAAAAGAACTAGGTGATGATTTTTTTTTCATTGTTTAACAAAATAAGAAGTTAGAAATCCTGAGTCAGTTCCAGAGATTTGTTTATTTTCCTGAGAAAATAATTCCAAAAGTCTGGGAACCATTGCTTTAAAGCAGGAGTTGACAAACTATAGCCCACAAGCTAAATCTAGTTTGTATCCTTTTTTGGTAAAGTTTTATTGGAACACAACCACACCCATTCTTTTACATATTGTTTATTGCTGCTTTTGCCCTACAAGGACACAATTGCATGGTTGTGACAGATGCCATATGGCTCACAAAATCTAAAATATTTACTATCTATCACTTACAAAAAGAAAAAAAAATCTTGCTGATCTTGTACCAAAGTATTATAATAATAACACAACTACATTCTTTATATTTATTTGCTATAATATCTATCTAGAATTAATATATATTCATCAATCTTTAAATAGTGTTTTTGTATGTCTTTATAAAACATGGGATTTTAGATTAATTGGTTGATTGGATAAAACATTATTTGTAATTTGCTCTCCATTAGGACATCAGATATAGCTGTATTTTTTTTATTTTTTTTATTTGAAAGGCAGAGAGATGGAGAGAGATAGAAATATCTTCCACTGTTGGTTCACTCCCCAAATGCCTGCAACAGTCAAAGCAGAGCCAGGCCAAAGCCAGGAGCCTGGATCTCTATCCAGGTCTCCCATGTGGGTGGCAGGGACTCAAGTGTTTGAGCTTTTATCTACCACCTCCCAGGAGGCACATTAGCAGGAAGCTGGGTCAGAACCCAACTAGCCAGGACTTGAACCAGTCACTCCAATATGGAATGCAGGCATTCCAAGAGGCAACTGAAACCTCTACCACAACCCTCACCATAAAGTTAGCTTTAAAGTGTCAGCAGAGGTTACAAAGTAATCCTCAAAGTTGGAGGGGACATGCATCCCCATTTTAATGTGTGCTTTTCACTCTCCAAATTGTCCCAAATTGCGTGATAAATTATGTGGTCATCTGGCTGAGGAGGAGTGAGGATGGCAGCTCATGTGCCTTTGCCTTAGTGATGAAGGAGAGGCTGCCATTGTCAGGCAGCTTTTTCATAATCACTTGGTCGAGCCCCTTCCTTCTCCCTGCCCTTCCTGGAGCTGTGGTTTCCTGAAGCACTCATAAAACCAAAAAGCAGTAAGATACAAATGTCTAAAGCACCTGGGAACAGATGTTGAGTATCTATTTTTCCTTTTCTTGTATATGGCATCAATTCCCTGCTACTGTGTGAAGGTTTGTGGAAGTCAAAAGGATATCTTGAGTGCCCATGAACCAGTATCCCACTAAGAAATATGTATTATTCCTAATTGAATGGAAGTTAATCCTCACAGCAAACCAGTGAAAAGTATGTTTCATTCTCTTCATTTTAGATTTGGGGAAACAGATTCATAGGGCTAGGAAACAGTGCTGGCTATCAACCCGGCTTTACCTGACCCTTTCCACTGGACAAGCCTATTGTTGTATGGTTGAAAGGGCCCCCAGGTGTTATACAGGCTGTCCTTGTTTTACAAGTGTCAGAACTCCAGCATTGATGCAGCCTTTTTCAAGATCATGAACCCTGGACCAGAACCCAGGCCTCCTGATTTCTAATGCATTTTTACTAAGTTACTTCTGACTAGGGTAAAACTATGGCCATGCCAAACCTAAGAAAATGATAAAAATTCAACTCCACTGTTGAACTAACCTTACTAGTAGCTGGTGTTGCTGTTAGATCATAGTATGTTGGGAATAAAATATTTATATGATGAAATGAATGTATAGATCAAGCATATCATCCCACAAGCCTTGAAAATCTGGCAGAATTCCAGCCTTTTATATTATCAATGCATTGTTATGATTATTTATAGATCATACTATCAACCTGGCAGTGAAATTCAATGAAACATGAAACACTAACCTCTTTACAATATGCACACATACTGCTGAATAATGATCTTGATTCAGGATACTTTTCTGAGTTTTAGAGAATGCCTACATGCATGACCTTTTTGGTCAGTTGCCAACCCAACCCCACATCCAGTGTTCCTGTTTGAATCAGCACATTTCCAAAGAGTCACTTAACCTCCCATTTTCCATCGATCTTGGGCCTGTGAAGACATGAATTTCTTTCTTTCTTTCTTTCTTTCTTTCTGTTATTTTTTTTTTCTTCGACAGACAGGCAGAGTGGACAGTGAGAGAGAGAAAAAGGTCTTCCTTTGCCGTTGGTTCACCCTCCAATGGCCACCACGGCCGGCGCGCTGTGGCTGGCGCACCGCGCTGATCCAAAGCCAGGAACCAGGTGCTTCTCCTGGTCTCCCATGGGGTGCAGGGCCCAAGGACTTGGGCCATCCTCCACTGAACTCCCTGGCCACAGCAGAGAGCTGGCCTGGAAGAGGGGCAACCGGGACAAAATCTGGTGCCCCAACCGGACTAGAACCCGGTGTGCCGGTGCCACAAGGCAGAGGATTAGCCTAGTGAGCCGCGGTGCTGGCCAACATGAATTTCTCATGAAAACTTTTCTATTTCATTCCATTAATGAGAAATCGCTGGAGCCAGGTAAACGTTCATTTTTCAGATTAGGAAACTAATATTCAATAACCACCTGAAGTTCATCCAGTAAAACAGGGATATACTTTTATTCCTTTAAAAACTATTGCCTTTCATGCCCAGTACATAATAATCGTGAAAAATATTCAAACATAAGAAGAAGAAATAAAGAACAAAGAAAGTGAAAGCCAGGGGCCCATGCTGTAGCACAGCAGGTTCAGCAGGTTAACACCCTGGCCTGAAGCGCCGGCATCCCATATGGGCACTGGTTCGAGACTCAGCTAGTCTACTTCCCATCCAGCTCTCTGCTATGGCCTGGGAAAGCAGTGGAAGATGGGCCAAGTCCTTGGGCCCCTGCTCCCACGTGGGAGACCCGGAAGAAGCTCCTGGTTCCTGGCTTCGGATTGGCACAGTTCCAGCCATTGTGGCCAATTGGGAAGTGAACCATTGGGTGGAAGACCTTTCTCTCTCTCTCTCTCTCACTCTCTCTCTCTCTCCTTGCTTCTCCTCTCTGTGTAACTCTGACTTTCAATAAATAAATAAATCTTAAAAAAAAGAAAGAAAATGAAAGCCATAGTGATTCTAGCCTCCAGAGAAAGCCTCAGTTAAAAGTTTAGTGCATATGATCTGTTTAAAGAATTCTAGGTCACTTTTAGGAATCCCTCTAAAACTGGAGGAAATAATGAACTATTCTTCTTACATTGTCTCCTATAATCCCATTTAGGTAAGCTTTGTTGACAAAAATTAGCTATTACTGTTAAAAAGAAAGGAAGTCATTGCGTGTGAGAACACATCAAGATGTTGCTAAACTGCAGGTGTTGCTAAAGTAATCAACAGTGGTCTTAGGCTACCGACCACCTAGCACACCAGTTGTTGACAATCAGTGTGCAGGGTTACCCCTCTTACTCCTCAGTCATCCTGGCTTAGGACAAAGAAACCTGGTGTGCATTCACTTGCTCTTCTCCATTTAGTTGAATGAATCTATCAGAGGATAATGCTGAGAGCTTAATTCTTCAGTGCCTATCCTTTTCAATATGAAAAAAAGGAGCTAGGGAAATCAAATTCTTCAATTACCGAAAGACAGATAACATGCTGATAGACAAGACATTAGCCTGTTTGAAAGATAAGTTCCTCTTCCTCACTGTTTAAGTGCAGGGTTCATGCTGACCTCATGTGTTTCTTTTCCTTGAAAAAGGAAAAGCATAAATTACATGAATTGTCATCTGCCAGATAGGAACACAATTCCCTATGTCCTTTGTGGAGCATGTGCTGACAAATGGCAAAAGGCCAATATTTATACATTCTGAAGGACTGGAGGAGACCTAGCATGAAGTCTTTGTATTTATGTTAAAACAGTGTTTTAAAAACAAGTAAATAAAACCGAAGCGGAAATGTAACTGTAGCTTTGGTTGTGAGGAGGACATCTTATTTCAGTCCTGCCTCTTACTCTTACCCCTAGGTTTTTATCTCTGGGCTGAGTGAAGAATTCATTTAATATTTATCTTTCTCAATTTAGCTGTAAGATTTTGTTAGGTTGTATTCAGATAGCTTTTGAAGACTTACATGTTTTGTTTGTGTTAGTCAACACCATCACATCATCATCTTTTTGGTATTGGCTACAAATGACTTATTTATTACATACCTCAAGAGGGATCATATCACACTAATGAGTTACAGCACCAAATTAAGAGCCACATATACAAAGGGTCTTCAAAAAGGTTATGGAAATGCATATTATAAAAAAGACCATGCATTTCTAAAAGTTTTTTCACCAAAATAAATTTATCTTTTAGTTCCATTTTCCATGAACTTTAAGAAGTATCTTCATACACCACATATTAGTCTGAAACACTTTGATCATGACTGTATCAACTGGAAATATTTTGGTTACTTATTTGATAAGCAGAGATAAAGAAATAGGATTCTGAATCTATTGATTCAGTCCCCTAGTGCCCACAACAGACCCTGTAGATAGGGCTGAAGCTAGGAGCCAGAAACTCAATCCAGATCTTCCATAATGGTGGTTGGAACCCAATTACTTGAGCCACCACTGC